GAACATGTTCAAAGGTCAACGACTCTCTTGCATACAAGAGAGTTTCTTTGAAGTGAGCATGAGACTTAGGTAAAGATTACAACAGTAGCAACGCTTGATCTTCATCACCAATCTTGACCTCGATATTTTTAAGATCAAGAATTAACTTGTTGAACATTAGCTTCTCTGCCAAGGCTTTTTCTTCACTCATCTTGAATGAATATAAAAATTGTTTCAGGTAGAGATGGTTAACCAACGATTTTGTCATATACAAACCTTCAATTTTTTTCCACACACCAGTTGTATTTTTCTCCTTTGAAATTTTCCGAAGAACCTTATCACCAAGGCTCAATACAGTGGCATTATGGGCTTTTTTGACCATTGTTGTCTTCTCCTTCTTCGATAGGGCATCATCCATCTTCTCTGATCCTTTCAACACTTCTAACAAACTCAGTTAAACAAGAAGGGCTTGTATCTTCAAGTGCTACAAACCAAAATCATTCACACCGGTGAATTTCTTAATCTCATACTTTGTTGATGACATCTTCTCCTCCACAAGAAGTCTTTTTAGGTTTTATAGAATAGAAAATAACCTCTCTCACGCTAATTAGGATTTTCCTTATTTCAAAGATGAGAGACTAGCATGCTATTTATGAGAAAACTAACATACTAACCTAATAGGATTTTACACACAGGCCCATTACACAAGCTAACTTACAGAATAACAAATAGGCCCAATTCAACATGCTAACACTCCTAGCATACTTTGACTGCATCATATGAATAGACTTCACAACATGTTATGATCCTGTCGAACCAAGAAGCTACCCCTCGACCATACTAGAGATCGATCCAATATCTCACAAATATCCACCTTGGAATAAACTTTATAACATCAAGGGAACAAACTAGCTTTCTTCATGCAGCTTTATCAACTACATGCAGAGGAAAAACTTGCAACTTAGTGATCATATCAGCAACATTGTGATATATCGAAACCTTCTGCACTTGGACTTCTCCATGCTCGATTACCCCTCTGACAAAATGCGCCCTCACATCGATGTGCTTGGTTCACTCATGATAAGCTGAATTCTTTGACATATGTATAGCGTTTTGATTATCACATTAAACTGTGATAACTCAACCTTGAAGTTTCAACTCCTTAGCAAAACCTTCAAGCCACAATGCTTCATTCACAACTTCAGTGAGAGTGATATATTCTGCTTCGGTGCTTGATAAGGCAACAACCTTCTGAAGTGTTGCCTTCTAACTAATTGTTCTGCCAAATATAGTGAACACATATCTAAAAATATATTTTTTTGGAATCCATATAACCTGCATAATCAGAGTCAACATACCCTTCGATTTTTTATTTACTATTTTCACCACATGCTCCACCATAAATCATGACTCTGTTTAGAGACCCATTGATGTACCTTAGAATCCACTTCAATGCTTGCCAATGAGCCTTTCCAGGATTCTCCATGTACATGCTTACAATAATTACTGCATATGCTATGTCGGGTATAGTACAGACTATAACATACATCAAAGAATTTACAATGTTAGCACATGAGATGTTATTCATATAAGCTCTTTCGACCTTAGTACTTGGACACTGATTTTTACTTAGCTTGAATTAAGGATTTGTCAGAGTCATAATAGGCTTTGAATTCGACATACCAAACTTGTCAAGAATCTTCTATAGGTATGTCTCTCGAGATAAGTATAATTTCGACTACTTTCTGTCTCTTCAAATGTTAATCCCAAGAATCCTAGATGCAACTCCCAGATCCTTCATATCGAACTCCTTATTGAGTTTAGCCTTCACCTTCATTACATCCTCGACATTATTTCATGCTATGAGAATATCATCCACATAAAGCAACAAAATAAAAAATGAATTTCCAGGTTGAAATCTGAAGTAAACACAATGGTCAAACTGTATTATAATGAAACCTATGTGTGCCATGAAATTGTCGAACCTCTTATTCCACTATCGAGGAGATTGTTTCAGCCCATATATAGACCTATTCATCTTGTACACATAATCTTTTTTTCCCTTTTCTGCATACCGTTCAGGTTGCCTCATTAATATTGTTTCATCTAGATCACTAGACAGGAAGACAGGAAGGCAGTCTTCACATCCATCTGTTCAAATTCTAGGTCGAACTTCGCCACCATAACTAATAACATTCTAATGGATATATGCTTTAAAACAGGTGAGAACACATCATTGAAGCTGATACCTTCTTTCTGGGTGATCCCCCTAGCTACCAACCTTATCTTAAAACGCTACGACATCATTCATTCGATTCCTTCCTTAACCTTGAAGATCCACTTACAGCTGACTAACCTAGCCCCTGTAGGTTTCTTGATCAGTGTTATTATCATGAAAAGATTTTAACTCATCATCCATGTCTTTCAGTCATTCAGTCTTGTCTCGACTCCTCATAACTTCCTTATAGTATGTAGGTTCTTTGTCTAGAACCTCACTTGTAGAGATTAAGGCATAAGCTATAAAATATGCATAACCAAGTCATTGAGGGGGCTTGATGACTCTTCTCAACTTGTCTTTTGCCAGCAGGTAATCATTATCAGTCTCCTCAGCTTCGATAGCAGCTTTTGCATCTTCTTCGACTTCATCTGAGTCATGCAATTTATAAAAAGAAAAAGAAAATTTGTCCAACGCTTGAAATTTTGTTGTTGCTATAGCCCCAAAATTTTGATAGATAAAATTATTAAATTGTGTAATTTGTTGTTGTTATAGCCCCGAAATGTTTCCCAACGCTTGAAAATTGTTGTTGGTATAAGATATTGAGACAACAATTTGTTGTTGATATATGGAACTATAGTTAACGGAAACAAACATCTGGTGGTATATGTTTTTTACCTTTTCAACGGTTTTTGGATCTTTACCAACAGATTTTTGTCGTTGGTAAAAGACAAATTTCATGTAGTAATGTGACGTTGCTTGTAAAGAACAAATGGTTGTTATTGTTCACTATGTTAATAGTTAAGGTTTGGTAAAAGAAACTTTATTGCTATTGTAAGTGTTAAAGAAACAAGGGTTAAGTCACTTTAAGGATGCACTTGAGAAGTTGTTGTGTATTAATGGCTTAAGTTTATCTTAGATTACGGGGAAATGGTATGATGGAGCTAGCAATATGCGAGGTAAGTTTAGTGGTTTGAGAACTTTGATCCCAAATTAGAATTTATCTACTTATTATGTGCATTATTTTTCCCATCAACTTCAATTAGCACTTGTTTCATGTTCTAAGACTCACAAAGATGTTAGTTATTTTTTGGTAAGGTCAATGTGCTTGTTAATTTCAGGCAATCTTCTAACAAGAGACAGGAATTGCTTCGAGACAAACAAGTAACTCAGTTTACTGAATTGATTGAAGAGGACCAAGTAGAGACTGGTAGCGGATTAAATCAAGAATCATTTTTCGCTAAGGCGAGTGACCCTTGTTGGGGTTCCCATTTTAGGACTCTCACTAGTTTGATGACTTTGTATCATTTCATTATTGAGGTATTTGAAGAAGTCGAAAAGGGTACTTCATTTGAAAAATATGGTGAAACTATGTATTTGCTGGATGTGCTTCAATCCTTTGATTTTATCTTCATTTTATATATGATGGTTGATACTTTAGAATTTACAAATTATTTGAGTGTAGTGCGACAAAAGCGTGAACAAGATATTTTGAATGCTTCGTCACTTGTCAATGCTAACAAACAAGAATTACAGCAAATACGGAATGATGGATAAGAAGAACTTATATCTAAGGTTATGGAAATTTTCAATAAGCATGATATTGATGTGCCGGGTATGGATGCACCGTATGTGAAAGGGAAGAAATTTAGGCGACATGCTACAACTTCTAGTGTTTCTAATTTGAATCATTATAAGCATGATTGTTTGTTTAGTGTTTTAGATTTGTAGTTGCATGAATTCAAGGCTAGGTTTGATAAAGATAATGTTGAACTTTTACAATGTGTTTCAAGTTTGGATCCCTTGTCGTCATTTGCGGCTTTTTATGTGAAAAAATTATTGAGAATTATTAAACTTTATCCTAATGATTTTTGAGATGTACCGGAATTATGTTAGCTTCAGAATCATGTTGGAAATGTTCAATGTAACCCAAAATTTGCAAAGTTAAAAGAAATTTCAAATCTTTGTACAAAACTTGTGGAAATAAATAAATGTAGTATATTTGATATGATTTATAAGCTTATGAAGTTGTCTTTAGTCTTGCTGGTAGCAACTGCAAGCGTGGACCGTATTTTTTCAATTATGAAATTTGTGAAGAGTTAGTTATGTAACAATATAAGTGATCAGTGATTAAATGACTGTCTTGTAATTTTTACGGAAATAGGTGTTTTTAGAACAATTAACAATGATGTTATTTTAATACATTTTCAAGAAATGAATAATAGACTATTTTCATTATAAATATACTTTATTATATTTCTTAGTTTCAATATAATTTAGTTCATACTTTCTTTCATGTTTAGCCACACAAATATGTAATGTCAGAATCCACCCATATGTTTTAAGTATATAAATGAATAAGATCAACATTCCCTAAACATTCTCTCTCAACTTCTACTCCTAGCACTCCCATTGTTGTTTGGAGGGAGCTCGCGGCATGGTGGTTTTAGGGTCAATATGAAGGCAGGCTTAAATTCTGAGGACCAAATTGGTTGATGCTTGGTTACATAAACAATGAGAAACAAGTGGTTTTTGCTGCAACTAAGATGACTTCCTAAGAACATGCTCCAGCCTTAACAAAATGTTGGGCCTTAGCTGGGAATCTGAAGTGGTATATCAGCTTAACTACAAGTTTCTTATACCACAGTCTGTATTTTAAATCCAATTTAAACCAACAATAACAACTAATGTGTATCAAATGTAGATGATATAATATAGTTGTTTACCAAGAACTCAATGCATTGATCATAGACAAACAAACGTACAAGTTTTCTTTAAATACAAACAAAGTAAACTACTCTCTAATCTAATCTTCTTCCTCATCTGTTACAAATTTGCCAGTTCCAGGATTCAAAGCAGCAATGAAGAAGAAAGCAACATTGAACAAAACAAGTGGTTCAATCTCATTGATTGGCACACCAGTTTCAATGTTGAGTTGAGCTAATGCTCCCTTCCCGGTAATAATCTCTCCAATCAAAGAGAATGCAAATCCCAATTGAGCCAATCTTCCAACAAACAGTTCATTGGATTTGGTGAATCCAAATAAAGGACCTGATTATTCACAAAACAAAAAGAATCAGTTTTTTTTATAAGAATCGTAACCACGATGTAAGCGACCGTCAGAGTCTAACGCAAGTGGTTAGTGTTGTGAATTTTAAAGTAAAAGTTAATCACCTCCTTCGCTGAGACCGAGAGCTTGTCTGAAGCCTCTTCCGGGAGGAATAACGCCTCCGGTTGTAGGTTCATCATCGACGAATTTACCACGGTCACCTAGAGCTCCAATGGCTCCTAGAAGTGTGAAAATGATGAAGAATAGGAGAAGAGGCTCAGCTTCATAAATTGGAATACCAGTTTCAAGATTCAATTGTGATAGAATTCCTTTTCCTGTTACTCCTTCACCCAAAATTGATGCCTGAAAATGCAACAAACAACTTGTGCCATAAGTAATCTACCTTTCTATAATAGACAAATGTAGTAGTACTATGTTAGTTCTCAAATTCTCAAATAGTATAATATAATCTCTAATCGTTAATATAAGAAAAAATTATTTTTTAAATTCACTGAAGAATTAATGTATTTAAATTATACGTAGTTCAGATATATTAATTCTTTAATAGTAACTTTTTCTTATGTTAAGAATCAAACGGAGTATTACGAAGCACGGACATCTTTACTAATATGCATGGCGTGTTCAACGCTCGTATCGATACTTGTACAATTCTCATATAATATGGTCCATCAAAGATTACTTGTATATTGTGAGAATAATAATGATTGACTAAAAGGTGGAAACAACTAGTCCCAAATGCATTGAAAATAAGACAAGTTAATGTTAATTTTCATGAATTACATTATATAATATAAAGATAAGATTAACTCACAGCAAAACCGATCATAGCAACACGACCAACAAAGAGTTCATTCTGTTTAGTGAAACCAAATCCTCCAGAAGTTCCGAAGACGCCATCTTCAACCTTTGGTTTTTGTTTTGGCACAACCTGAAAATAAAATATACATCATGAAGTCAAATGAAGCTTAAGATAACAAAAATGTTACATTTGATGATATAGAAAAAGTAAATGAGTACATACCTTAGCAGGGGCTTTGGTCTTTGATTTGAATAGAGCCAGAGTTGTGAAAGTGCGAGAAGAAAAAGACTTAGAGTTAGAAGAAAGTGGGTTAAAAGAGGCATCAGAAAACCTAGGCTTCAATCTTTGAATCTGTAATTGAAGCAAAGGGTCTTTGTTCAAAGGAACAGAATAAGAACTGGAGACACTAGACATGAGCAACATAGTTTGAGCCATTGCTATGTTACCTTTGCCTTGTGTTGTGTTGTGTTGTGTGTGTGATATGAAATTGTTTGTGGTATGGTAGAGTTAAACTGAAACATAGAAGAATGGAAATATTATCTTTAATAAGGTGTGTGTGGATGTGGTGATGTATGTAAGAAATACACAATGATAGGCAAATAATGTGACCACGTCTCGTTTAGTACTATGTGTGGTTTTTTTGTGATAATGTTTTTATTTGAGGTATATTGTGATTTATGAATGAACATCATTTTTTTGGGTTATTTTCTTTTATGCCTCAAGTGAAGTTAAGAGATAACTTATCAAATATTTCTTTTGATGTGCTTATACAGTAATATATTAGTTTGATGACTTCTTATAATATTAGAAACTAAATTGATTATTAATTTTATAAAAATCACACAGCTAAAGAGTCGTCTAGAAAAATAATAAAAAATAAAAATTATATAAAGAAATGTTTTATTTATCTTTAAAAAATGACTTATAAAATATATTTTTTCAAAATGTTCGACATTTTCTAATTATAGTACAATTTAAATTACTTTTTTAAAAATTATATTTTCAGTTAATATTTTCTTGCATCATTTCCAATTTAATGTTTCTTAAATATTTATTATAAAAATTTATGTTTTAGATATATTGAATAATTAATGTATTCTAAATTATTTTTTATAAACAAATGTATATGAACTCACTATTACAAAAAATATATTTTATCTCAACGAAAGAGATTTTATCACAGTTATAAAAGTGGTAATGAAGGGCGACATGAAAATTTTTTTACTTTGCAATTGGCTTTTTATTAACTGAGGAGATAATTGAAATGATTACTGGTTCGTTTCTTATCAACAACATTTTTATATGTTCAAAACTAGCGTCACACACCTCTTGATTTCTGTTAAAAATCGGAGGAAAGATATTTTTCTTTTAAAATACAAATTATATTATTTATATAGAATATTAAATTACATTGTTTACAAATATTATTTTTTATTAAAATACAAAATTTATTATGTTTACATTGTTTTGGTTTCAATTTAAAATTATAAATTTTTTACAAATATGATTCATCGTCATCACTGCTATTCTTAAAGAAGAACAAATCTAGATTTTATTACATACTCATTGTTTTTTAAATTCGGGAGTTTAGGGTTTATGGTTTTTATACTTAACATAAAATTTCAGTTACAAGATAAGATATTATGTAAAAACACCAACCTTAAAATAATTTTTTTTTTGGCATTTGTAATCACCTTAGAGATCTGTTTCACGCTTCCAATTGCTTTTCATGGCAAATGCTTTTATTATCAATGTTTGAGTTTCACAAGATAGTGTCCAAGATATATAGTAGTGGTGTTTGTGTTCTTATTGGATGTTGAATGTTTCTTGTGGATTGATATGTTGGCAATATCTTAAGAATTGTTACTATTTAAATGCAAATCAGAGATTCATGGTAGGTTAACTGAGTAATTATATCCATCAGTTCTTTTATAAAATCTAGAGAAATTATTATTTTTTAATTAAAAAATAAAATAAAATAGGATTTTTTCACTCGGTTTTATAGAGGAACCGAAATAATATATTACTTGAAGAAAATGGTGAATGGTAAAATATTGAAAGTAACATGTATTGTTTCCTTTTTCAATTTTTTTACCATTCACCATTTTCTTTGTGTGTTGTAATATTCAAAACAAAACCTCTAGATCTTGTATTGTGAAACAACAATATTTCTTACAATTTACAGTACGTTTAGGAATAAATCTCTCAATGTTGTCAACCGATGAAAATAATAAATTATGGAGTATTTTCTTTGATTGACAATATAGAAAGGTTATTGCAAAATATGACAATGGTCTTGCACGAGGTGGAAACAACAACAACAACAACAACAACAAAAACATCTTAATGTGAGATAGATTCCAAGAGCAGAATAAATGTTTTATTCAAGGATGGTGTTAGAAGAACAACATACAACACACAACCTTGAAGATTTTTTATGTCTTGCAATTCATCCCAAAGAATGATGTGTACGAGTTTGGAGCAACTATAGATGAATTAGATTTATAATAAAACTTAATTAGTGAATGCTTTTATAGTAAAATCCGATTATCTAACCCCTCGGTTATTAAAAAAATCGAAGGAATAAATCATTTAACTAAAAACTAAATAAATGAAAAGAAAGGAACCCCTTTTAAGGAAATAAAAATATAAATTGCATTTGCTAGGAATCGAAGCATGTCCTAAAAATTTTAACTCGCTTATATTCAACAACCGAGGGAATATATGGTATTTAAGATAAACATGGCGCGTCGTGGAATTATAACACAGTTTTTGTTGGGTGATATGAAAGTTATGTCATGAAATGTATTATTTGTACCTGTTTATTTGACTCATGGAAGTGACAAACTTACCCTAAGTGACCTAGTTTATCCTAATTTTATTTCTTCACCTAATTAAATTCAAAATCCCTAATTTCATATAACTCACCCCTTCTTCTTCGTCGTGCGTTCACTACACATTCTTCCCCACCATTTTTGTCTTCTCTTTCGTTCTTCTTCATAGTGTTCTTACATTGTTATCTTTCGTCTTCTCCATCCTCCCTATTCACGAATGCAAAACTCAGAAAGTTCCATATCAAACATATCTTCAAATGGATGAATCACTCCCATTTATGGACATAATCTTTCCATGTAAGTGTTTGTTTCAAAGTCTAAGACAAAATTTGGGAGAAAATATTGGAAGTGAAAGTATTGGTATGAAGAAGAAGACTGTAAATTATTCCATTAGAATGATGAATATTTTGGTCAATGTGGAAGAGAAACAACTCTAAATTAAAGGGAAATTAATCATATAACTATTGACAAAATTTGGGAATGATTTTGGAAAAGAGATTGGAACTCAACTATGTACGTAAGAAATAGAAGGGATGAAGAAAAATGTTGAGAGCTTGAAGAAGAAGATGAACCTTGTAATAGTAGTAATTATTTCTTCTTGGTTTTTTTCCTACTAGTTTTAGGAGCATGTAGCATAAATTGATGTAACAAGTTCGATATGTACTGCAAATGAATGTTAATGTGTATCATAATCTATTTTAAATGAATGAAAAACTAGTCTTTCTGGTTTAAACTTTGGCATAAGTGTTAAAATGTTTAGTATACTTACATGACAGTTTAGACATAAGTATGTTTTGACATAATTTGGACATAACTTTGACATGATTTAGACCTGCTCTGTATATACAAATTTGAACAAAATTTTGACAATATTGTCAACATAACTTTTCTATTTTAACAATTAATTCCATTACATAACATTATCATTAATTCCATTACATGTTGATCCAAAATGAGCATATATTACCCAATACACGGTGATACAAAATGTGCACATATTGTGCTTTACAAAAATGTTCCAAAAGTAGCACATATTATGCATAACATAGATGTTCTTAAATTACATTACAAACTATGATTGAAAATTAAGCATTGGCGTTCTTAAATTACATTACATATATATTCCAAATATAGCACATATTATGCATAAATTAAGCATTATTGAGTCATTCATCTGAAAATTTTATCCCATGACTTCATTTTCTTCTTAGGACCATGAAAGTCATCAGTTTTCACTGGTGCATCTGAAGTTGATCCTAGGCCCACATTTTTTTTAGACCTCCAAACATATTTCAACTTATCACTACCCCTTTTAGGTGGTTGAGGTTTATTTTTCTCAACTTGTTTCTTATTTTGAAGTTTCTTCTTCTTTGCAAGTGGTTTATTCTTTTCAACTGCTTCTTGTGTCTTTTCAGCTTGTTCAAGAACATGTGTAGGATTACACACTTGAGATTGTGGATATTGGGATGGTTCATCTTCAAAAGTTATCATCATCTCCTTAATCATTGCATACAAATCTGAGTTATTCCTATCATCTTCCACATGTTCAATAGCATTTGCCTCAGACACACCTTAAGTAGCATTTATTTCACACACCCCTTTAGCAACACTTAATGAGGCTTTCTTCCTTGGTGATTTCCTCTGTACACAGTAAGAATGCAACAAGTTTGTCACACAATTTTCAGTTCATTCATAGTAAATAAGACAAACACTAAGCAATCATGAATAATTACCTTTCTTTTCAATGCAATAAGATCACGTTCATTTCTATGGCATTTCCTTGAATTATGGTCAAATTTGTCGCACTTGGTGCATCTATAAGCTATTCAATGCCTCCTCATCCTTGACCTTATTTCATCATGCTCCATAAACCTCAACTTCTAAGGCCTACATGGACCACTCTTATATTGAGGTGGTTACATGTCTTCAACATTCACATTTGGCCATATGACCATACTTGTTGATTTGGACTTATATTGTTCTCATTACATATTTTATAAGGCCCCCTCATGTAACATGAATCATCATATAATTCAGAGTCCAAATTTTGATAATGCATAGAATACACAACATATCTACAAGGTATCCTCACTAGGTACCAAAAGCAACATGCACAAGTTTTTCCCAAGATCCACTACAATGTGAAGTCCATTATATGGATAATAAACTTGCCACACCTCACATATACTCCATGTTGGCAGCCACTGACCACTCAACATAACTTCCTTATCTAATACTTTTCCTATGTATGGGCATGACCTTCTGTTTCCATTTGTCAAGATTAACTAAACTGTGAGAAGCCCTACTCATTAAATAGTTTATAATCCACTCACACATTGAGAGGATTGGTTTATCCCTAGCTTGTAAAATATTGCTATTAAAATACTCATTAAGGTTGTTCATCAACACATCACACTTAAGGTAAAAGCTAAAATAGTGCTTACGCCATACCTTGCTAGGTATTCTTGTCAACCATTCACAAGCCTTCATATCCAATTGCTTCAACTCATTCATCTTTTTCTCCCAAGCCTGGAAATAAGTAGCTTTTGCAACCCCCATAAATAGGTCCCTTATTACAACTCCACCACCAAACTTCTTCTT